GTTTTGGTAATTTTTCAGTCAGTGCTTTATTTAGAGGTTCCTATAACAACTACCTATCCTTTCAGGTTATGCAGTTATTTCCTTTCTTCAGCTCATGGAAAAAATTTAACTTTCAGTACAGACAGGTAGGCAGGGCAAGACCATGGGGCTATTGGGGCCAAAAGTCAATCACCAAATAACCCAACTGCATTTGTCCATTTGTTATTATTTTTAAAACAAGTATGTACAGATGGCAGAATTGGTTTTATGGTTAAGAATGTCAAAGACAGTATTTTTCTTAGCAGAACATCAGAAATATTCATCCAGAATTTATATATATTCTGGACATATATAAAATAGTTGTGTATGCAAGAGTGGCAAAACTTGGGGCCAGTTTTTCTTAGGGTATCTTCCCCTACTGGATGCTGTCTGCTTGCTCTCTGGAGAGCCATACCTCTCAGATCAATAAATTGTATTGATCCTACCTTATGCCACATAGATACATCTTGTATTAGTTGTCTGTTGTGGCCATAACAAATTACTACAAGTTTAGTGGCTTAAACAACACAGATTTTCATATAGTTCTGTAGGGTTACAAGTTCAACCCTGGACTCAGCTGATAAACAGTGTTGGCAGGGCTGTTTTTGTTTCTGGAGGCTCTTGGGGGGTGACCTGTTTGCTTGCTTATTGATGTTGTTGGGAGAATGTAGTCATTGCCTTGTGGTATGGGAATGAAGCCCCAGTTTCCTTGCCATCAGCTGAGGGCTACCTTCTGCTCCTAGGGGCCCCTCTTGCTCCTTGCACAGAGCTTCCTATATCTCAGGAACAGCAACAGAGTGTTAAATCCTTTGCATGCTGCCATGTCTCTCACCCACCCTTCTGCTGCCTTCTACTTTTAAGAACTCTTGTGATTAGATTGAGTTCACCTGGATAATCTGGGATTACCCCCCATCTTAAGGTCTACAACCTTAATCACATCTGCAAAGTCTCTTTTGCTGTGTAAGGTGACATTATTTTGCCTAACACATTCAAAAAACCTTGGCTTTTAGGGTGATCAGTGTGCATCAAGGATAGGGTCTAGCACCGTGATGCCTAGACCAGGTTTCACTTTTTTATCATACTTGCAGTTAAGTTAATACCCATGTTGGCTTCATTTCATGTTACCATAAATGGGACTGAAAGGTGTTGTTAGAGGCAGCCTGGAATCTTGGGATCTCAGCACCTCCCCCTGCCACCTCCTTCGTCTTTTTAACTCGAAAGAGTAGTAGCTGAAATTTAAACCATTCAAATTCAACCTCAGTGGGATGCCAAGAACTAAGTGTACCTGGGTGTAGAGAACATGAAACTTCCTCACCCTTTTCTCCATGAGTATATCCATTTTATAACAAAATTGAAAAGGAACTAAGAATAAAGGCGTAGCATCCTATGATAACTTAGCAGTGTTTTTCCTGGTATATATTCTGTCTGCACCACCCAGTTTGGTCTCTATTGGACACCTGACTTCTTCTCATTAGTGCTGTTTCTTCCAAGTGCAGGAAAACCTTGTTTTTCATCTCTCGCCACAACGCCCACAGAGAGGGCCCGCAGAAACAGGCACTGCAGTTGGCATGGGCCAGACAGTGAGTCAGTGTGAAAGTCATACATGATAAGGGAAGGCGGGTCATTGCCAGAAAGGGGAAAGGACCCCTCAGGAGGGGGGAAGGAAAGGGCTGAACTTCCTGCCCTGACCTGATATGGGACTCGGGCCATGTCTATGAGTTGGTCCTAGACATGGAGTATAATAAGAAATGCTGCTCAGGGCAGAAGCAGACAAGCACCCAGAGAGACTATGCTGTTTTCAGGCTTTCAGGGGCAAGAGGACTTTGGATATCTGCCCTCTGTCTTTTCCTTGTTCACAAATGTCCCCAGTTATCAATAGCAGATCCTTTTTTGTAAAGAGGCTCAGACCAGTGTTTCCTAAACTAAAGCAGTGCATTGGGGAGCCATCCTTGAGACCCCACCCAAAAATACGCATTGGAAAATACTGTGATGAAGCTGCCCAAAGACCCGCATGAAGGTTGGCAGATTCACAGGCTCCCCTCCACGCTTCTGACTGGGATGTGCTTATTCAGTCCCCTTTTGGTTGGTCAAGCCCTGAAACTTTCGTGTGAATTCAGTGTGCAAATGAGCATCACGCACTCCTGGAACTCTTCCTATACCCTCAAGTAGAGGGGAATTCAATTAAAGTGTGTGCAGCCCCAGGCCACAGAGCGGTGAGGGAACTGCATTGTTGTTGACACCAGTGACAACATTGCCTCCCATGCCAATGACTGCCTGGGTCAGTGGAGACTTCTAAGTACCTTCATCTAGGATCTGCTCCTCATGATCTAGGAGATTATCTATGGGAACCATTTTAAGGTTTGGATTCATGGCTCATGGAGGTGCCAAGCGTTGTTAAAGACGTCAGTTCCTTTTGAGAGTAACAAAGATCTGCACAGATGTGAACTCGTTGCGGGGAAGGCAGTTGGCAGAGGCCACTTGAGCCTTTCTTATGAATGGCGAGGCTCTGATAACTTACTTTCATAATGGCCCAGAACTCTTGAATTGATGTCTTTACAGCTGAGCTTGCTTCAGATTTAATGTCATGGAACATTCACAGGCCGAGGTGGAGCTGTAAGTGGAATCCTCCCGGTCAGCACCTGACACACCTCAAGCTGCCTCACGGTTCTCCGTGACATGACGATCTCTACAAGAGCTCTTCCTTTGCAGCCACTCCAGGAGCTCACAGACTTAGTGATCCATACACATAAAGATGTTGAATTCTTTGGGATTTCATTTTTTTCATGCCCAAGGATCCCTTTTATGACCTAACTGGCAACTTATTTCATAGGTGAGGCCAGAACTTTTGCTTTATTTTCCCTGCTATTTGATTTCTGAACATCATTAAAATGCAGAAGTGTCTTTTGAAACTCCTAAGACAATGCAGCTCAAACTTGTTTTCACCTTAGTATAAGACAAACTCCAACCAGCAGCAGAACTGCAAGCATGCTAAGATTCCTATTTGCCTTACCTACCAGTGTACGAGAATGGCCATTTGCCAAACCATTCATGTTAGTATAGCTAATCTTATTTATTTATTTATTTATTGAGGAGACAGGGTCTCTTGCTTTGTTGCCTGAGCATGAGGGCAGTGACATGATCATAGCTCACAGCAACCTCAAACTCCTGGGCTCAAGCAATCCTCCTGCCTCAGCCTCCTGAGTAGCTGGGATTACAAGCACGCACCACCACTACTGGTAATTTTTCTCTTTTTAGTAGAGATGGGGTCTTGCTCTTGCTCAGGCTGGTCTCAAACTCCTGAGCTCAAGCAATCCTCGTGCCTTGGCCTCTCAAAGTGCTAGGATTACAGACATGGGCCACCATGCTGGGCTAGCTAATCTTATTAATGGTGATATCTGGCATACAAATAGCAGTGGATCACATTGTGGATTTGAAAGTCCAACAGTCCTGAGTTTGCTTCGTTCCTCCATCCCTTAACTCAAGTTCAGTATGACCCAGAGTTAGCTATTTAGTCTAGGTATCAGTTCCTGATCTATAAAAGGAGGATAATGATATCTATTTGCAGGATTGATGTGAGACGTATACTAACTGATGTATATAAAGTGCTTAGTAGCCCCAGTATGTACTAGTTGTTTTCGTTGTGTTGTTGTTAACAAGATAAAAGAACTAAACCATCAACAGAGTCATCAAATGTCATGTCTTTTGCAAGATTCTTATTTGAAGATATCTCAAAACTTTTTTAAAAGTTCATCTCTTGCTTCCCTTGGAGCAGGCTGGAAAAACAGAATGATTAGCACAATTGTCCTAACCTAACCCTGTATAATAAACAGATGTATGACCAAAATATTAGCTTGAATAAATTTTGCCCGTATAATTTGGCACTGACTGTGCTGTGTGAGGTCATGAATGCGAGGCTTGCAGGAACCCAGTGGACCCAAAGTGGCCCTGGAATTCAGCCTTAAAATGAACAAAGATCTCAAGCAAAACTTCCACTGGGAGTCCAGGCGAAGCAGCGCGGCCTGGGGCAGCAGAATTTCCTGGGCAGAGCCCCTCCCTGGCCCTGACTTCCTCCCAGGAGAGCCCCACCTCCATGAACACAGATTCAAGGGCTCTGCAGTGCAGTTTCACAGCCCGCTCACTGTGCTTGGGCCTTGGATGGGGAGCCACAGAACTTCCTGGCAGGCTTCTAGACCTCAACAACGATAAAACACCTATCAGACCCCGTGAGGGCATCAAGCATTCATGCTGGACTTCTCCTACAGAAGGAAGGAGCTGGCCTCCGCCCATTTAGATGAATTATTTTGCAGCCGTCTCCGAGACACAGGAGGCTGGCACTGGCTGGGAAAATCTCTGCAGCATTTCTTGCCATTAGAAAGGGAGTATGAGTTAGATATGGTTCCAGTACTTTAATCCCTCAGAGTGTTTTTGAATGCCCCTCCTCTTGAATGTTTTCACTTGACAGAAGAAAAGAACCCCTCCTCCCCTAACCCTCAATAACTCAATTAAAAAACCTCCCCGGATCAGAGGAAACAGGGAGAGGCACAGCATTTCAGAAAGCGCAGGGAGAGGAAGGAGTCCAGTTCTTCTGGGACTAAAGAGTTTACTGAAGTTGCCTCCAAAGCCCCTGGTGGCTGAATAATTACCCTAATTGTGAGGCTCAAAATCTTGTTCGGGAAAGTAAAATGGAAGAAAAGTAGCAACAACTGGCTCCGAAATCTCTTTTAAGCAAAAATGCCAGCTCTGACGAGAAGCAGCCCGCTTGTAACTCTGCCTGACAAAGTGTGAAGCGGCCCCCAGAGTGTCTACGCATGCGCGGCTGCGCGTGCCCGCTGCGCAGTGCGGAAAACGGCGCCATGCGCTGGGCGGGCGGCCCTGCCAGGCCCCCTGGCCGGTGCCGGCTGTCCTCGTCTCCTCTTCTCGCCTCCTTTTTCTCCTCCCCACTCTAGCCCAGTCTCTTTCAAAGGGATTGATTCCTGTAACACTTCAGCACAGAGAAAAGGGCTTTACTTGGCAGCTTTGGGTTTACATGATCGCTGATGAACAATCAGTCTGTCTGGCAGGAAGGTTCGCCCACAGATATCGCAGGGAACCAACTGGCTCTGGGCACTTGTCCAAGCAGCTTCGTTTAAGGCATCGAGATCATAGAAACCTTTGGCTGGAAAGTTAAAGAGTACAAGGAAAAGGGGCGTAGGGGAAGAAAAATAAGAAAGAAAGAAAAGGGAAAAAAGAAAAAGGTAAAATAGATCATTTTTTTTTTATTCTGGAGAACCGTATTCTACTTTTTATGGAAAATATTTTCAGGAAATACCTGTTGACTGAGGCTTTCAAACAAATCATACTACTTTTGCCAAAAAAGAAAAAAAAAGGTGGGGGTGTGTGTGTGCTCATTCTTTCAAAGGTTGAATAAAGTTAGCTATAAAACCAGAGACTTTTCACTCTGTGGATTTTAAAAAGGAGATGACATTGTTTTATGTGTCATGATATGCATTCTTCACTAATTATTAACATCTTTGCTTACACATTATTATCTCACAAATATAACTTCTGGCCTTGTCAGTTTTTAACTCTAAATATAAGCTTACAAAGGGAAAAGAACATGTATTTGTATTTTTCTCTTCTGTAATCCTTCAGTGGCATTTTTTAGAGGCCCAAACTGACAGTTGAGAGTGAATTTAAGATGAATTATATCCTAAAAGTTTATCATCATTTCACGGTCATAAAATTGGAGATTCTTTAAGTAATTAAAATGAAGAATGCAAACAGAATTATCTGACAAAAAGAAATGTCTTTAAGAAAACAACAAAAACAGCTGAGAAATGTATAATCTTCATTGGCAGAGCATAGGGAAAAAGGGCATATGGCTCTATTTTAGAGAAACAATGTGGGATTTAGCTTTAATAAGCCTTATTTAAATAGAATGAATTTAGTACATTAAATTGACTATATCTTGGAATCACTCAAATTAGGGCTCCAAAATGTAGCCAGACACTCAAAAATATATGACTTAGTTTTTCTAATAGTTCATGTGACTACAGTGAACCTTAGATTCCTTAATATGCCTGCTCCTAATAACTTTCTCTTTTTTTTTGCTCCACAGGAATTTAAACCCCAGCAAAATCTAGTATTTCTCTTTTGAATACAGCAAGTGTCACTTTCTCTGTAGAATACGAATGTGTATTTCAAGTGCTTCGAAAACTGTTGAGAAAAGAATGACGCTGACTTTTTTGTTACTCATAAGAGTTTTACTACAGACTCAGATATTCCAGAGTAGTCATTGACTGTCACTTGAAGGTGATTAATCATATTTCCAAATATTTTTGCATACGCCTTTGACTTTGGATTGGGAGGAAGAGTTATTTGAACTCTATGAGTGAGTTATGCCCACAATGAGTCCATGGGATAGAAGTTGTAATGTGAATTTTCTTTACCTAGCCAGGGAGGGCAACTTCAGAGATAAAAATTGCAGGAACAAAGTAGAAAATTGCAGGGAAGTGCAGTTATAGGGCCTACATTTTCCATATATAAGCAATAATAGAATAGTGAATCCACCAAAACTTTCAAACTCTCATGCCTCTCCTTTTTTCCAGCTTTGTGATAATTATGCTTGAGCAGAGAAAGTGATAAAAATTAAAAGAAAAAGAAATAGATTTTAGCACCAAATGAGAATTGCTTGGAAGAGAATTTCAATGAGGAAAACTATCTATTGGTAGACAATTGCTCTAATTTCAATTAATGGATGTTTTCATCTTGAGTTCTTTGCCCACCTATATGCAAATTTCTCCTCTGAGCAAGGACTGTGAATAGGTGGGATCTAGCAGCTTCTAGAATTTTATCATACAATCTAGATTCCACTCTGTTGGTTGTTATGAAACTCTCTTTGAGTCACATCTCTGACAAGAGTGATTTGGACAATTGACACTAAATGACCTCCAAGGTACCCTCCAGTGCTGCGAATATAGTTACATAAGCAGAATGAGTGAATTGAAAGATACTCCTCTTAAGACCAAAATTTTCCTTTGAGGGTATTTAGGGGATCAACTGAGAAAATGACAATGGTAGAAATATGATAAGCTAGTCTGAGCTTGCATGGCAAAAATATTCTCTTAATTATTTTCACAGCTTAAATGAGTAAGGTCTGCGACAAAGTCACACGTGGCAGTTTAGCTCTGGTTTCATTTGGATTGCACAGTGCTTTACAGACTACGAACTGCAAAAATTTAAAAAATTGAACTTTCCATATAGATGTCTAGATTTCCAGTTTAGTTTCTATTATTGAAAGATATGACTGCACTTGACTAAATTTCTTAATGATAACACCAGCTGGAGCTGGGCAGCTGCTGTCTCCTTTAAAAAGAGCCAGTGCTCTCCAGCTCTTTCTATTCCCCCACTTCCCTTTTTTTCGTACATGGATCAGTTTATCCAGTTTTGTAACCTGCCTAGTGGTCTTTGTAAACATTTGAGTTTGTGCGTCTCCTCCATAAATACCAAGCCACATTCTTACTTGGAAATATGACTCTGGATGTCTCCAAAGGTTTTATTTTTTAAGCTTCATGTTTTTAAAATATTATGTTTGATAATATATGAAAGTCACTTGTGGGAAATACAGTAAATTCCAGTGAGTTCCCCTCATCTCTCCTGCACGGTGTTGCCAGGACATAGTGTCTTTATGTCTCAGCAGCGGAAGACGACACTTGGGGCAGGCATTCCAGAACTATTTTTCTTATTTGGCTGTAGCCAGTGCAGTGGATATTGTTGATATCCGTTGTTTGAACAAGTAAGAAAAGAATACCTCTACTCTTACAAGTTTACAGAGAAAAATTTCCCCTTACACACGCAAGTCTTTGTTCTAGGAACTTACCAGTTATGGTCCTGACTTCTGTTTTCTTGGGTTCTGGTCTCCTTAGCTCTTTAGGCAACAAGTTGTTTTCATTATGCCATTTTTTCAGGCATTGCGGCTCATGGATGCTGATAGATTTTGTTCCATATTCACGACCACAAATGTAGCAAACAATTGTTGGTGGACGCCTTATCATTGTTGTCTGCTAGTAATATAAAATATCTGTTAGATAAAGTTTAGATTTGGAAGTTATATTTTAAAATTACAGTCCATTCAAATTAGCTGGAAAATTAATATGATTTTTAAAAAAACTTCCAACCAGTCTGGTGAATTTAACCTTTTTAGCAATTAAGAGACCAAACTAGGTTATCTGAGTGATTGGGGTAAGGGTAGAGATGTGGATTTGGGAGAAAACAAAGAGGAGCTAACCAGAATTCTCCATATTGGTACTGTATAAAATGTATTTTTCATTTAATAAATGTTGATTGCCTTCTGACTATTATATCCAAGTTACTATGCTGAGAGACTACAAAGATAAATCTGGCATGAATCTTCCTCTCAGTAGCATCAGGCTTTAGTACACCAATATATCTGAGAAACAAAGCAATAAATGTCATTGGAAAGTTTATAACAGACACTATTATGCCTGCCCACATTCCCTCTTGTCAACAGTTTTCTACTGCAAGCACCTGGAATTCTCTGCCTTTTTAAAATCTAGAGTAGGCTCTACCCACAGGCAGGGCAGACAATCAATTACAGATGAGAAGTGGTACATAAATACTCAACTTCCTCCCCAAGGTTGAGTCCATACAGTCTTTTCCACAAGTCCTCAGGGGGATTGTACCACAGCTGCTCATTAACACACAATTTAAGCTTTCTTCTTGTGCCTGTGTCTCTTCCCATTCATTTACTGGGGTATCCTGGGATCATTTCTCAAATAAACCTTTTCTTAGTGTTCTTGGTTTTTGGGGGAGCCAAATCTAAGTTAGGGTTAAAGGATAAAATAAAATAAGGATTTTCTCTTTCTGTCTAGGATATAGACAGGCACAAGAGACATTACTACCACCCAAACAAAGAACAAATTGGATAGTCTACAGAGTCATAATTTTTTAATCTATTGGAGACTTAAAGTTGCAAGGTAAATTAGTGAACTAAAAGGCCTGTGATACGATTTGTATGTTTGGCGCCTGTAAATCTCACGTTGAAATTTGATCCCTAATGTAGAATGTGGGGCCTGGTGGGAGTTGTTTGGGTCATGTGGGCAGATACCTCATGGATGGCTTGGTTCCCTGCCTGCAGCAGAGATCTTAGTTTATTAGTTCATTGAAGAGCTGTTTGTTTAAAAATGTCTGGCACCTCCTCCTTTCCCTTGCTCCTCTCTCTCCCAGTGACACACTTACCCCACATTTACCTTCCATTTTGATTGGAAGCACCCCGAAACCCTCACCAGAAGCAGATGATGGTGCTATGCTTCTTATACAGTCTGCAGAACTGTGAGCCAAATAAACTTCTTTTCTTTATGAATTATCCAGCCTCAGGTTTTTTTTTTTTATAACAACCCAATGGATTAACACAAATTGCTTAAGTTTGAGGCTGGGTAAGCAAAATCAAGAAAAAACCCTCCAACACTCCACAATCAAAACCATAATCAGATATCACTTAATGAGATTCTCACTCATCCAGTGAGAATGGCTTTTATCAAAAAGTCCCAAAACAATAAATGTTGGCATTGTTGCAGAGAGACAGGAATACTCATACACTCCTGGTGGGACTGCAAACTAGTACAACCTCTGTGGAAAGTAAAATGGAGATGCCTCAAGGAGCTACAAGTAGAACTACCATTTGATTAAGCAATCCCATTACTGGGCATCTACCCAAAGGAAAAAGGATATTCTATAAAAAAGACATCTGCACTAGAATGTTTATAGCAGCACAATTCACAATTGCAAAGATGTGGAAACAACCCAAGTGCCCATCAATACATAAGTGGATTCATAAAATATGATATATGTATACCATGGGGTACTACTTAGACACAAAAAACAATTGTATGATGTAGCACCTATTGTATTATCCTGGATAGACCTGGAGCCCATTCTACTAAGTGAAGTAGTACAAGAATGGAAAAATAAGCACCACATGTACTCACCATCAAATTTGTACTCACCATCAAACTTATTAATCAACACTTATGTTCACATATGGTAGTAACATTCATTGGGTGTTGGGGAGGGGGGAGCGGGGAGGAGGGTATGGGTATATTCACACCTAATGGTTGCATTGTGCACTGTCTGGAGGCTGGAAATGCTTGAAGCTCTTACTCAGGTGGGGAAAAGGCAATACATGTAACTTAAACATTTGTACCCCTCTAATATGCTGAAATTTAAAAAAAGGAAGAAATAGGAATACCATAAAATACAAAAAGCTCAATAAGTTAAAATAATCTTTTAAAAGATATTTCCAATTTTTATACATATATGAGTGTAAATCTTTTAGACTATAGTTTTCATAAAGAAAAACAATCACAATATAGAATTTATAATTTACAGCATATATTTGTAAAGCAAGTTACGGTCACTAAGAGCACAAAGGGTAGAAACTGAAACCTGACAGTAGATTGTCAAAGAATTCTTACAGTTTTTCAAGGATAGTATTTTAGAGGTAGAATCTGATGAGTTAAGGATGCATATTTTAATCTACACAGTAATTACTAATGCACAAAGATATGCAGAGGCATAACTGAAAAATCAATAGGGGTGATAGAATACTAAAACAAAATTTGATGAGTTACTACCCTGAAAAGAAAGATAGGAAAGGAGAAAGGAGGGAAAAAAAAGGCAGGGAGAGAGCAAATAGAATTAAATCCCAAAGATAATAGACTTAAATAAAAACATATCAATAATTACAGTACACCTGTAATCCTAGCACTCTGCAAGGCCGAGGCGGGCGGATTGCTTGAGGTCAGGAGTTCAAAACCAGCCTGAGCAAGAGCGAGACCCCATACCTACTATAAATAGAAAGAAATTAATTGGCCAACTAATATATATAGAGAGAGAGAGAGAGAAAAAAAAAATTAGCTGGGCATGGTGGCGCATGCCTGTAGTCCCAGCTACTCGGGAGGCTGAGGCAGAAGGATTGCTTGAGCCCAGGAGTTTGAGGTTGCTGTGAGCTAGGCTGATGCCACGGCACTCACTCTAGCCTGGGCAACAAAGCGAGACTCTGTGTCAAAAAACAAAATTACAATAAATATAAACAGACTGAAGAACACAATTAAAAAGCACAGATTGCCAGACTAATTGAATCATTGTTTAAAAAGTTAGGTAAAAAGGCAAGACCTAACTATATGCTATTTACAAGAAACACACTTTATGAACATTCAGACACAACAGGTTACAAGTAAAAGGATGGAAAAAAATATTCCATGATGTACGCACTAAGCAAAAGACACTAGCCATAGTTGGGATTGCTATATTAGTAAAATGTAACTGAAAATTCAGAGTTTGGAAAGATTTCTTCCAGTTGTGATGATCACGGAAAGCTTCAAGGATGTATCATTGGAAGAATGGGTAAAATTTAAACCACAATGATAATAGAGACTGAGGAAACATCATGAGCAAAACCTCAGGACTGGGTGTAGGAAAATCATGGGTCTAAGGAAACCTCAATGTTTTATTCTGGGTGACAGGGAAGATGGTGATGTCATTATAGAAAGGGGAAAATCATAAAAGACAAATTAGGGAAGGAGAAAAGCAGTGATTCTGTTCTGTATCTATTGAATTTGACATAATAGTAGAATTTAAATGTGATTAGGTCCAGCCAAAACAGAAAATATAGTCCTGCAATTCAGGATTAATGGATTTCAGAGCTACTCACACAGAAAAAGATGTTTAAAACCATGAAAATTCTATAAAAAGGGAGTATATAGAGAGTATATGTAGAAAAATTCCTGGGAGAATATCTATAATAAGGATATTATATAATTGTAGCCAGAAAACATAAAGGTTCAAATTTGCAGTTAAAGGAACAGAGCAGGGAGGGAAAAAAAAAGTCCATTCAGAATTCTGGAAATACTTCTGGTTTCCAGAAAGATGATGTTATCAAATTTGTCAAATGCTACAAAGAATAGTGAGTGGTTGAGAAAAGGCTATCAATTGAGTTACCCATAAATACATATGAGTGACTTTTGATAATTTCGTTCCAATGGAGAGGTAGGGGTAAAGACTAAGTTGTTAGAATTTAAAAATTAGATCAAGGAAAAGAGGAATGCACTTTCAAAAAGCTGGCGAAAAAGAAACTTGAGACATAAGAAAAGTGGAAGAAAGATTTGCTTTGTTGCGGTTTATAGAATAACAGTGTCTTAGGCAGAGGATGAGAGATTGTAGTTCCAAGATAAAATGTTATAATCGATAAGAATAGGTCTCAGGGTAGACAGGAGAAGATGGGATCAAGAGCTGAATTGGAGGTGTTAGCCTCTAAGGAAAGGAAAGAAAGAAGAAATAGATGAAGTTAAAGAAACACGTTTGTAGAGAAGAAGTAAGGAGTTGATGGAGTTCACAGAGATGAACTTAGTGTTCCAAGTAAGAGGCAAAGTGATCTTCAGAGAATGAAGAGATCTGGATTCTGGGAAGCAGAATAGTGAAAAATTCTGGGATGAGGCACTGTGGGAATGTAACAGTGATTCAATCAGAGAAAAATACTCACTGACTAATGGAAAAGACCCAGTTAAGAGAAGCTGCAAAAAATGTTGACAGAATTAAATGATCTTTTTTCAGTATGTTCTTTAGGAGCACCAGGTGGCATGAAAACAGAAACAATTTAAGCTGACAGCATGGTCTTGTTTGGGGAAATAAAACTTGGTAAATGTGCATGTTTTAGAATCAACCTGCTTTTAACCGTGACTAATTGGAAATTACACCTTGCACAGAACGAGATGAAAATCAGAAGGAACCACATTTATGATTTCTGCCCACCAGAAATAAAAATAGATTCTAGATGGGTAAATTCACAATTAGTATAGACCAAGTAAAATGGAAAAAGGAGTCACTCCCTGAAAGATTGAAGCTTCTATAGAAGGGTATTATTTGAGGCAAAATATTTTTACTCTATTCTTCTACATTAACTTATGCCAATAGTATAATGACATTTATCAAAATAACCAAATAGTTATTTATCTTTCTTTTTTTTTATTATTCGTGTAGCAGGTTC